GCAAAATATCTGTCCATATTTTATTTTATAGCTATGTTTTCTACTGTGCAAAACAAGGATCCTGTGATGTGTTGGGAAGACAACCTTCCTTTTCACACAGTCCTGTGTGTCTGTGCCTTCTCCAGGGCTGCATGACATTGATTTATGCCCAGTTTTCCTTAGCTTTCTTTGGCAGAACTGCTAAAAACTGCTCTGACAGAAGGAGATTATTCCAGGCTAAATACAGTTCCTAGTATTTGTATCTTACAATGGATTTTCCACGGAATATTTTAGTATTTCAGTGAAAACACTGAACACAACCAGACTTCGGATATGCCCTGACAGACCTTACCCATCCACCTTACCAGTAAATTAATGACAACTTTCTTGTACTGCCACCTGATCAACTCCTTATTTTCCAAGTTTTTTTGTAACTAAGTTACAAATCCCCTGGAGGATGTGGCACCTGGGGACACGGGTTGGTGGTGGGCATGGCAGTGCTGAGGGAATGGTTGGATTCAGTGACCTCAGAGGTCTTTTCCAGCCTGAACAATTTTATGATTCTATGACCTGACTTATCCTAAAACATCACGTGTTTGCCGTGCTGTTCTTCCCTCTCCCCCATGAAAAACACAAGCCTAGTCTCCGAAATGAAGCTAGACTGGCAATCACGTTCTTGTATACAACGCTACCAAGTGGGTTCATCTGCAAGACCATTGAGTACATAAAGCACGTTTTGAGCCCAAAAACATCGCGTCTCACAGCAGAGCTGAGACAGGGAAGAAAGCTCCAGCCGGCCAGAAAATGAAAGATACTTTCCCCCAGCTTAAAGTAAATAAATGAATAAACAAACAAATAAATGATTTACCTGTCCTGGTTCCTGCTGGCCAGAAAATTAAATATACCTTCCCCCAGTTTAAAGTAGGTAAGTAAATAAATAAATAAATAGATCCCATTTGCCTGTCCTGGATGCTCATGAGCTTTCTCAGACCGATGTCTAGGGGCAGGGTCTCTAAAACCCGTTTCTAACCCCCGCGCGTGATGCTGGCGGGTTTAACCCCCGCTGCAGGAGGGAGAAGCCTGTGCCGGGGGATTAGGGAACCCCCGGTTCGGTATCACGCCCCACCCTCCCGGTAACTCCGGGCAGCGTTACCTGGTCCTTGCCGCGGTCTCCCACCACCACGAACAGGCTGCGCTGCCGCTCGGCCACGCCGTTCTCGATGAGCACGCGGATGCGGTTGTCCACCTTTCGGCGCTGCATGGCTGCGGGCCTCCCTGAGCCTCCCCCGGCTCCCGATCCCGGTCCCGATCCCGGTCCCGATCCCGGTCCCGACCCCGGTTTCGCTCCCGCTCCCGGCGCTCCCAACGCACCACGTGGGAGCCACGTGTGACAGAGCGCGGGCGCCGCGCGCCGCGGGAGGACCCCGGGGCTGCCCGCGCCGTTCGCCTGCGCCGCACACCCACACAAACATCTCTAGTTCTTTTTTAAAGTATAATAATTTAAGGTAATTTTCCCCTCGGGAAAGCCGCAGCGGAGTTGAGGAAGCACACACACTGGAACTACGCGCACCCCTGTGGCCAACCGGCTCCCAACAGCCCTCACAGACATAGACCAGCCCTCACCTCTCACAGCTATTTTTGGGTTATTTCCGTGGGGTTTGTGTTACTCGCTGTAAAAAGGGGATGAAACCAAACTCCAGCCGCAATGGCAACACCCATTTTATTTTTTAAATCTCTTGTTCTACAGGAATCTTGCTTGCAAACCCTAAAGACCATGTTCCTCTGATTTTATAAAGGTATTTCTTTTCCACCCACTACAGTCCTACGTGAGCCAGACACTGAGTCTGGGTGGCCTTTGGGACTGCAGAGAGGAAAACCAAAAAATATATACATAAAAGGGCATCTGGACACAGTTTTCCCATGGAAACATGACCACAGAAAACAAAACACACATACAGAAACTAATAAACCTTTAGGATACATAACTATCTGATACCAAACCATGAAACCCCCCAAAATGTTATTTTGCTCCTCAATAAATCTAGGTAGAGCTTATAACGCTTAAGCTCTACTGTTTAATAAAACCGTCTCATTAGTTTTACAGTTTTCTATATAAAATCCCAAGTTGCAAAACTGTGGAGCTTCAACGAAAAAATGATCAACCTGACTTGAAATTTCAGCGACTTTTCAGAAACATGACATTGATTCTTAAACTGACAGTAAAACTATTCCTAACCTTTCAATACCAAAGTTGAGCCGAGCTATTTGCATAGATATATTTATTCTTAGCTTTTAATACTGCCAAAATTTGGTTTTTAACTCGAACATTTGAACAATGAAGCATTTAAAACCAGGTAACATCATAGGAAAATTTTGTTTAATACCACTGGGTGTATTTTGGGGATATTTGTTTTAAAATATAACAAAAATATGATAAAACTACTGAATTAATCATAATAAAGGCTTAGAATAGGTTTTTTTTTTTAGGTGAACCCAGACAGACCCTGTCACTGAGACAAAATCACCAATGAAGTGTAGCAAGACAATTCCTGAACGTACAGGTACGAAATATTTGCTTGAAAGGACATAAAACATTTAAATAGATTTATTTTTCAAGTGTTTACATAAGCCATGGACCAATTGGTTTCCAACGTTGAGTTTAAGAACTGCAAAGACATATATACAGGTATGTTTAAGGCCATCAGAAAATTTAAACTAAAACTCTGAACACTTATTTTATATGGTAGAAGCATTGCTAAAATTTATTCTAAAACTGGAGAGCTTAAAAAAAAAATACTTTTTCATAATAAAAGTCTAATGGATAATGACTAAAATTTAGCTTGAGACCAAAATTCCAGGTGTACTTTGATTCACTATTTGAACACTTTTTATAGAAATGAGAACTGAGCCAGTTACACCCATGTCATTGTTTTATAGACATTAAAAAGTGAGGGGAAACAGAGCGTGGCTTTTAAAATTAATAACTGCAGCAAGAGCAAACAATAAATTTAATTCAGAACCAAATGTGAAGTTAGGCTGAAGTTTTCCTAATACAGTTCTCTTATGTGCTGCTCAGAGTGGCTTTAGGATGTGGATTTTGGAAAACAGATTTCCTTCCCTCCATTAAGGCTAAACCCAGAGAGCCACAAATAATTTTAATAGCATTATATTCAAGAATTGAGTTTTCAAAGATTGAAAACTTTTCCTGTCCCATCCACATGGAAAGCAGATGGAATATCACTGAAACACGTTTTAGAAATTAAAAGTCTAATTCACAGTGACAAACCTCAGCTCCAGCTACAAATTTGTGTCTTCAAGCATCCATTTCCATCTTTGCAAACACTTTAACCAAGAAGTTTCACATAAGCAAGAGACATAATGTGTTTTTATCCAAGATGGATCCAGCAGCCTCATTACCTGGGCTGGTTAATGAGTTCTTGAGTCCACCATTATATCCACAGATTTTTTTTTAATAATATGAAGTTCAACCACTTTTCAGTATCATTTGTCATCTTTTCAGTATTTATCTACAGTTAAAACCTCTTCAGTAACTTCTCTCCAAAGTAGTCACTCAAATGCCATTTGGGGAAAGAAGGAAGCTCGATCCATTCTCCAAAGACCTGTAACACAATCAATCTGCCTCAAAAATAAGGTCAGGACATTCTGAGAAGACACATTAAGTTCTCTGAGAGTTTCAAATCCCAGCAGAACGCATTTATTGGTTAAAACAAGAAGCCAACAATCCTCTTCCAACTACTCTGATTGCTGAGATGCAAAAGGCAGTATCTTGAAAAGAAAATAGGAGTTAAGTGAAGTTTAGAATGCTCCACAGCAAAATCCCAAAGTTGTACAGTGTTCTTAATATACGCAGGAACAACAGAAGTAAAATTCAGGACACTGGCCTCAAGTATGAGACAACAGCTCTGATTTCTAAGTTTTTAAGTTTTAGGATGTCCAGGAAGAATCCGAGTTCCCCAAACACAGTAACAATAGGTATAAACATCTGAAGTAATTGAGTGATTAATACAATTTGCTCAAGAAACCTTGAATTACAGCCAAGAAGCAGCAAGAGGCTGAAGGCAGAGGTTTGTTCTCAAACACACCCCACTGCACGTTATCACAGCCCAGATAACAAAGGCCCTGCCAAAATAAAATTCTCAGGGTAGCTGTATATGCAAGAAGGCAGCCAGAACTAGGCTCCAATTCTCCCAAAAACACTTCTTGGAAGAATCAGGTAAAACCACCAAAAAGGTGCAACTGCTGTGTGTACCTGCAGGCTCAGACACAGCACTGTGTTATCCTCACTCTCTCCAACACAGGATGTTTCCCCACAGGATAAACACCTCATCCTGGGCTCTGCAATAGAAGCAGCCTTGAAATCCCACCACTTTGCCTCACGATTAACTTCTTGTAACAGTCTTGGTTCAAGATATGACCTTTTTTAAAGGAAACATACCTAGGAATGCTCACGATCAGGATGGGACTCAGACCCAGAGCCAAGCTACAGAGTAAGGATAATCTGGAGCTCCCCTGAACAGGCCAGAAAAACAGTGAGTGGACCCATGTGCCACAGGGTGACCCCAGAAGAGCTTTCGCTACAGTTTATTAGATGAGATTAAAGGAGTAAGTGCAAATTCCCAGCTTAAACACCTCTCATGGACTTGTTCCTCCTCTCCCTCTCCCAGAAAACAGCAGAGCAGCTGCTCTAAAGGCTGTTCTCACACCAGAAAACGTTTACAAACTTGTCAGGAGGCCCCTTATCTACCCGATGTTTTATTTTAAGTTGGAAAGAAACCCCAAACCAACCCCCAAAACTTTCAGTGGAATGTTCTGATCCATTCAGGAATCTTTAATTCAATATGCTGCATGTTTACTGCCCAACTACAATCAGTTACTTAAGGAGCATTTGGTGTGCAATGGGAAAAGCTGAACATCTTGTGTTCTACCAACCATTTAAACAGGAAGCTGATGCACAAACAAGAAAAAAATAATTAAAGGAATTCACTGTTTTCCTACATCAGTTCGACATTAAAAGGTTTGTCTTTTTATTTGTTTCCAGTTAAAAAACAGTTGGGTCTATTATCTCAGTAATAACCTCCTAAAAAAGACACAGAACAGCAACTTCTCCCCGGCTGCAGTTTTTGGATTGTGATACTGGTACGGAATGTTTTTAGGCCTTGACTCAAACTGCTGCTCCCAGACATCAGCACCGTTTCAGGATGCCTGGTGTGGAATATTGTCTTCACAAACTTATCACTTCCCGCTGCAAAACCATTTTTCATTTGTGCTCTTCACATAGGACATGGAAAAGTGAGATCACCACCTATTTGTACGGAGTTCCAGGTTGTTCCACCACGAAGTCAAAACATCTGACTGCAAGTTCTGAAAGTTCTGAGTGAAAACAACCTTGAGTTTTGTATAGAACAGTTAAACAACACGCAGCTGTTCCTTAATTTCACCTTTCAACAGGCAGGAATTATTTGATGAGCAATATTTAACATAGAGTATATAGCACTTTTCTTCTCGCATGTGCTACAGAATGCAACAGAACTACCAACACCTCTATGGAGGCAGCATCAAAATATTCTCCCCACTGCAGAGAGAGTGCATGTGCGCAGAAGGCAGGCACAAGTGATTTTTCCAAGGATTATACCACAAGGATGCAGTAAAACTTGAGTAAGACTTGTTATTTTCCAGCTCCCAGGCTTATGCCATTGCTTTTATACATCGCTGCCTTGACGAAAAGGAAAAGTCCACAAAAATAAAGGTTTCCCAGAAGTCACAGCTAGTAGAGTAAAACCAGGAAAACAGGAGGAGGGTTTACATCTAGTCAGGAAAAGAGATTATTAGGGAGAAAAAAACCCAAACAAATAAAAAACCTTATGAAATGTCACCCCATCACATGGAATCTGTTTCAGTCGTTGAAAACCAGTGTTCCAGGATACAATTTTTATAAACATGTTTTATTTGTCTTGCTTATACCATTAGAACTGTAACTGCTGGCTGTCATTTCCCTTCAAAGGGGAAATCAACTCAAACACATACTGGTGCTTTTCAAAAGAGAGCAATTAAAAGGGCAGCAGCAGCAGCGGGCATTTGAGATTTCTTCAAACCTTCAAGGCTGCAGGAAAGACAAAAGGACATGTGACCAAAAGTGTTATGATTATCCATTAGAGATTTCCATCAGTACCGGCATCAGTTATTTAGGTGATAATACAGCAAGGTCAAGTATTAGTGACAGACAATGTGCAAGTCATAAGGAATGATAGAGAATACCAATCCTTACAAAAGTCATTGCTATCAAAGGAACTTAGAAGTGTTTCAGAGAGATACCTAAATACTTCACATCAAATATACAGTGGCCATCCAGATTATATCTCACATTTGTTGCAAAATTTTGTTGAAGTGCCAAATCAAAGCTTTGTTTTTGGGTTTTTTTTCCTTTTCTCCTAAAAAAAAAAGTTACACAGTTACATTAGCAGTTATGCAAGCGTTCTTAAATCCTTAGCCACAGGATTCAGGGCCCTGGTGAGGAGGAGGCTGCAGCTAAGGGTGTTTCTTTGTCAAAAACTGGCTCTAAGCCCATCTGTCTATTGAGGGCAATTGCATCACTACACATCTTTAACTGTTCAGTGCTTCAATTTAATAAGAAAAAGCTGAAATGCAGTTGCTCTACCAAGCCACACTTCACCTTTTCCATCCTTTCATGGGCACATTAAGTTTTGTCAACTGCCACCACAGTAAATATTTATGAATTTACAGATTTTATCCCAATTTGTTAAATCGCTTTTAAATGTCAGAAGTGAGTCTTTACTTTTTTCCTGCCACTTCAGTTAACCATGGAGATTGGATCACCCTGGAAATTGCCTTTTTTTTTTTGCTTTACTCTTAGCAAGGGTGAGGAATCTGAATCTCATGTGCAAGGCTCAAGATGATGCTTAGGACAGAACATGCAGAGTAAACATTGTTTCGTTCCTTTCAATATCCAGGTAATATAAAGCTGGCAACTGTAGTCCTGTCATTATGGGTAATGAAAATAGTCCCTTTACAACAAACTTCCTGTAAGGGAGAACAAATAGATAATAACTCTTCTGGTAACATGTATTGTACACTGGCCAGCGTGTTTTTGGCGTTGAATGTGATCCTGTGAACGTGTTTAATTCACTTGCTGAGCGTTCATCTGAGGCATCCCTCTGTTTGGTCTTGGGGGTCCTCCACGACCTGGGAAACACAAAAAGGGAGTTGAACTATGAAGTCTGAGCATTTAAAAATATTCCTAAATGTTCTGATGTAAACTGGGCTTCCTAAAATTCATTACAATTGGGCTTCCTAAAATATATGGCAATAGTAATCAAAATAAAATTTAAAGTTCAACTACAGCCTCATTATGTCTGTGGGTTTTTCTGTTTTGTTTCCTAAGGCTTTCATTAATAAAAAGCAGGTAACTAGTTCTGCTACATTTAAAGTGTCAACAGCAATTGCTGTTTTAGCCTCTTTTCCAGGAATTCCTCATTCAACAGCCAACACAACTTCCACCACAAGTTCAAAGGATCCCAGTACAATTCAAGTCAGCAGGGTCCTCAAGAGGTTCTCCAAGACCCTGCTCAAAAGCAGAGTCAGCTCTGAGGTCAGAGAAAGTAAACTTCAGTTGTGAACTGCTGAGTAAGGGGTGAGGTTGGTTTCTAAATCCAGAACTCTGGAGTTGGATCAAAAACTTCCATTCAGCCCAAATCAATTATTCACTACTCAGGAAATTACCTCTAGGAGCTCCCCGAGGTCCACTTTGTCCAGAGCCACGTTTGAAATTCTGTTGATATCCATCCTGAGGCAAAGAAATTAAAAAAGTTATGACATAAAACATGGGCACTGTTATTAATTGCAAATAAAATAAGGAGCTTTTAAAGCAGCATACACTGACAAAACATCTGTGACTTCAACATGCAGCATTTTATCAGTCTGCATTAATCTTAGAAGAATTAGTTCTTACTTCTACTAGTGCCTAGCAGCTGTAATAAAATGTGCAATGACAAATGCTCTCTCCAGTTACAGGATGTGTTGCTCAGTATAAATAAGAAATGTAAATAGATGTATTTAGTGTTTAAATTTTTCAAACTACACTGAGGCAGTTCGTGTTCATTACCAATAAAAGAAGTCCTTGGCAGAGTTTTCACTAATAGATTTGAGTGCTTTTGTTTTTTCCCCCACACTGTGGTCTCTTACCCGCTGGTAATTTGAGTAATCCCGAGGAGCATTGAACTGGGGCTGCGTATAACCACTGTTTGGAGTGTTGGAAAAGGAAGGACGGTATCCATCGTATCCCCCTAAGGAACAGGGCACAAGTCTTTCACTTGAAAATGGGAACTTACTACTCGACTTTCTGCTACTGTATAAAGAAAAGCAGTAGCGGGATTTTAACTAAACCTGAGCAAAAACCCCCACCCCTTTAGCAAGGGCTGTTTACCTGCACGTCAAGCAAATGTTTGCAACGTCAGGGTTAATACTATTACAAGAAACAAGAACAAAGATCTAGTAAGAACTGGGAGGAAAAAGCAATTCAGTGCATTTCTCTGGTAATCTGAGGTTTGATTTACAGAATATTCAATCCAGAACTAACCATGATACTAGGATCTGTATCTAACAGCTGTGACCGCTGCACTCATACTACAATCAGTTGTATTTTTATTATACAGGTTTCTTCTCTATTCCCCAGCCACAGGAGAGGAAAAGAACATGGCAGATAGTACCTGTGTCCATTAATCTAATCCCAGAACACCTGACAAGGAAACCATCTCTCCCTCCCATTCTAACAATGACAGCCACATATAATCATCTACAGGAACCATGAAAATCCTCTAATTTACTCAACTACAGCATCATTCCTCCACTCCTGTCGATTCCCTCAGAGTAGTGACTTTGACACTCTTTTGTTCTTACACTTCTACATTACCCAGTCTCTTCTGACTGTGGTCAAAGCAGAATTCTAAAATACACTACTTCTACTACAAATGGAAATAAAAACATTTTTGAACCATCAACTAGCATTTAAATTCCTCACTTGAAATTCTGTTGGTTATTTCTGTTATTTGCTTATACTTGCAGTAAATACCTAATACATCCCAATATCCTCGTAGGATATCCAAACACACATCTAAAATTTAAGTTGCTTAACTAAAGCAAGCGGTTTTATTGCTACACATTTCAATATCACATAGAGATACTATTACAGTCTAACAACAGCAGGTCAGCTTAACATTTGCTACAGAGGTGCACATTCAGAGAGTGCTTGTGCAGCTGCTCACCTCTGAATCCGTTGGCCGGTCCCCTGTAACCGTTCATGAGCCCCCGGGCCCCACGAGATCCCCCACGGGACACCCCTCGGCTATTGTAGTAAGGCTGGCTGTTCCTGGGAAACCCAGTGTTCTGCTGGGGAGGTTGCTGGTGGTTGCCTGCCACCTGGTGAGTCTGGTCTGGGGATCCATGGTAAGTACCAACCACTGCAGTGCAATGGGAGGGAAAAAAAAGTAGTATTAAGTCTGTATTTCTTTATGTTCCCACATATACTCCCTTCACACTCAATATTCAGTTAGAGAGGAAAAGGATCTGGATCTTCTTTACTCAATACCCAGTATTGTTACCACTTCACCCTTGTTAACTCTGTCTGTCTCTGCATCTGCAACTTTCATCTCAGTGGACTCTGGATATAGACTTGATTTTTTCAAGCTGCTACCCTGGAAAGCATTTTGCCTGCTGAATTCAAACCCTGTCTCACTGATTTCACCAGAAGGTTCTGGCCCTTTGAAAACCTTACATCATCTGTGAGAAGCAGCCCACATTTGCTCTCACTTCTGCCTTACTATTCTATCTCCTGTATAAAATGCCACCTCAAATAGCATAGTTTTTTTAAAAGCAAGTTTAAGGATCTTCCAACCTTGTACTCTGCTCTACTGCTTCCACTTTAGAATAATCATGTTCATGCTTTTTTTAAACCCAGAGAAAACCCAATCAAATGGCAAAATTCTTTTAACAGCTGGAAGTAAGATATACTGAATTTCACACTGTTGGATATTCAAGCTGAGACAGAGTAACAAAACTTGGTATTGTCAGGGGAAAGCTTTGCAAGACTAGGAACATTTGAGAACATGTGACATGCTTCGCTCCATCCTCTAGGCCTTCACAGCCTGAGCACCTGCTCTACATTGAGGCTGTTGCCATCCTAGTTTTTGCTAAAAGAAGTTTACCTGTCTGGAGTTGTTCTTGCTGAAGATCTGATTGTTCTACTTGGTGAGGTTGACTGGAGAAACTCTGGTTGTAACTGGCCTGGTACTGATTTTGCTGCTTAAGGGTTTCTGGCTCATTAACAGGAGGAACAGGTGCATTCATGTTGAATACCTGTAAAGGCAGAAAAATGGTTCTCTGGTCCAATTAATCTTTACAACTTTTCACATAAAGTATCAAAGTCTAAGAGATGTGAATAACCAGACTATTCTATGCAGCTACATGACTGATTCCAACAAAATGAATGACCACCAAAAGAAGAATTATTTGATTTAGTTTACATTATTTTATCTTTTTATTAATTATTATTTACTTACTGTTTGCATGGATTGGAATGGAGCTGCATTGACATTGATTCCGCTGCTATGCAAAGGCTTGCTGGATCCAGCCTGGAACACCTGGGGCTGGGATGCAGTGGGAAGTGATGATGAGGATGGGGTCTGGTCTGCATTCAGTGACATTGAAGCCTAAGAATGAAAAGAAAACAACATTTTAGCAGCTTTTGAGATACCAAAAAAAAGTGGCAATGCCTGAGCTTCAGCTCTACAAATGACTATTTTCTATTTCAGCTCAACAGCATCATTTGCAACAGCACAATAAGAGAGGAAAAACCTTGCAGCCTTCTCCCTAGTTGACTTGAAACACAACTAGAAAAACTTAAGAAAGGAAATGTATTTCCTGGGCTAACTGCTGGTCAACGTAAAAATCAATTCACATTTCCTAAGCCATCATCAACACCGACACTCACAAACTAATGCTGGCACGCTGAATGTAACTAAACAATCTTGCAAATTAAACCTTACTATGAAGGACTTACTGGTCACAGACAGGCTCAACATTCTGAAATTGAAGGGAACTGGAGCAGCCCTACTAATAGGCAACTAAAACTACCACTTTTTACAAGGAAACATAGACTAATATTGATATCTGCCAGGAGAGTCCTTCCCACCCCTCTGACACCTGACTTGCCTGAATCTGGTCAATTGATTCTTTCTGTGGCCGTTGCTGTGCTGTGTGATAAGGCTGATACATGTGTTGGGAGGCTGTATATCCCTCACTTGTAGAAGAAATCAAGGGAACCTGACAAAATAAACCCCAAAGTCCCCAAAAGTCAGCTGATGCTCACCCACAGTTTTATAGAAAGTATCTGACAACCCCCAGCACGGGTGGTACTCTTTAGTCCAAGTCTGTAGAGTTCTGTTTAACCAGCAGAATTAACCACCTCATCTTGACCAACATTCTAATATGAGCTCATACAGAAGTGGATAAGTGCTGGTTTCCCATGGATTGAATCTGCTCAGTCCTCTGCTCCTTTAAAGAGTCCAGTGAAAACTCCAGCCAGCAAAGCAGAGGACTTTGCATTTAAGGGTATGGGGATTTCAAGAGGAAACTGATAAAACTGATGGGGCTGTTCACATCATGTTGGAATGTTCAGAAGGAAAGACTAAGTTTAGCTACTGCTTGTAAGATCCTCAAGAGAATCGCTGGCAGCACTGGTTGAGACAAGGAAAATAAATTTAAAAAAAAATCCCACTGGATTAAGTCACAGATATCAGTTAAAAGTAAAATAAAAGTCAGTGCAGAGAAAACCCTCTGCCAAAAGAAATTATTCTACGCCTACAAAACAACAAAAGGGGAGAGCACTAACACTTCAGGAGGTACTTACAGAGGAAACTCATAAAAAAACCCTCACTCCTGTTCCTGTATGAATGAGTGACAAACCTTGCAGCTCTATCTGGATAGGACAAAGCAGGCAATTTATACTGCCAGTACTCTGAGATACATAAGCTATCCAGATTTTTTCTTTGGCTTTCAAACACCTACAGGGATCACACCCATTCCTCAGAGATGCCACATGGTTTAACACAAAATTAGGAAGTTCTTTAATCACTAGACAACTCAGTAAGAAACTGAAGCATCTTCACAAGAAGGGGACCGTTTATACAGTACAGAATCAAGTTTAAGAGGTCCTACCTGAAGCTCAACTGAAAATACCATTCAACTCAGTATACAACTCCAGTATAAAACACAGCCCAAAAAGCAACTGGGAATAATCCTTAACGGACTAAGTGAATAAATCAGAACAGTTAATCCTTTAAATCTATTCCTGCTGACACTCACTTGAACAGACACAGGCTGCCCTTTAACTAAGTTATTTTGGTTTTGGCCTTTCTGTTGCAAATAAATAAAGGACTACCTGCTTCTAGCTAAATTACAAGTATTACTACACGACTTAACATCAAAGGGAACACTACTAGGCAAAGGTAAGACTCCATTACTGAGAATCTGCAATGTCTGCAGAGCACAGAATCTACCCAGTTACACTTCTTAGCAACAATGCTGAAGAAATAATGGAGATAACCAATTTCCCAAAATTAGAACTTTAACTTTGAGTTTCTCATACAGTTAGGAATTAAATCCTTTTGTAACAGTAACCAGGTTGAATATAAAGCTCAAATCCAAAATAAAGTGTACTAAACATTTTACCTGTGTAGCTTCTGGTTGCACAGGAACTTGAGTAGGCTGGGCAAGTCTTGACTCAGCATGAACTGAAAGAAAATAACTTCACTTACTATACAATCAAACCTTTTACAGAACAGCATTACTGTCATATCTGCTTCAGTTATCTGAAAGCCAATCATCATAAGATGATGAAGCCTTTAGCATGCCAAAGCTATACTCAAATTACCAACTCCATGCAAAGAACATTTTTTTTTAGTTGTCCAAAATAATCCAAAGCAAAATTGTACTTTGCTCATTCAAAAAAAAATGTTTCAGATGTTCCACATTTCTAAGCAAAACCTATAAGCAAGTGAGAATTGGAAGACTAAAACTAGTATACCTTTCTGAGAAAAACACACTTGACCAGGATTGTACCATTACTTGTGGTGATCCTTTTACTCTGCAGCAGTAACTGAAGCATTTTTAAAAGATGACTTGCAGGCTTCCCCAATATTTATGTTTAGGATTTACCATTACAAACCTGGAGGGCAAACCATTTGTGGCATGTCCAAGCTCTGTGCTGGGTTCATGGGCTGTGCAGATACAATGGCAGGATCAAGTGTTTGGTTCTCAAATTCCAGCATGGAGTCCTGAAGGGAAGAAATTAAAAAGCAATTAAAAAAAAAATCAAATCCAATTTACTGTCTGTTAAAAATACGAGCACTCAGAACAGAGAAATACCTGCATGAAGTTGTAGGGGCCCTGCATCTGGGCCATGAGGTCCTGTACTCGCTGTCTTCTCACCAGAGGATCTGCCTGAGCCACAGTGGGGAGTGTGTGAGGTTCAGGAACAGGAGGAGATGTCGCTTGTGTCTGTTGCTGCAGCGAATTTACAACCTAACAAGAGACAAGCAACCAACTCAAATTTCAGCTCCAGTCAACACAAAAGTGACTTGGTAGTTCTTGGAATTTATGGCTATTGCCTAACTCATTATGGATGGAATTACTGTAGTGATGTTGAAGAAAAGTACTACATCCTACAGTCATGCCAGTATCAGTGGCAGCTACTGATCTCAGCAGTCACAGGATTATAGTGCTCTGTTTTCTCTCCATCTACTCTTTTCCCCATTAATAAAACGTTTGTTCAATACTAGGGGGATTTTTTATAGCAGGATTTGAGACAGCAATTTATTAGTATTTGGAAATTTAAAGAAAGGTGGGGAGGAAAAAAGCTTCAGAAATATGCACAAATGGGGAACAATTATTTTTAGTAAGTGCAAGTGGAGCCAGAATTTTTGGGTCTTTTTTAAGACTTCAAAATGGTCAATTTTCATAGCCACTTTTATCCTAGCAAACTGATTTACTGTCTCAGGGAACAGCAGGCAGCACTGCATGACAAAGATTGCAAGGCAGCACCATGGGGGGACACCAGAAGCCCAGAAGCAGAAGCACAACTCACAGTGGGCAGGAAAGCTCAGATTTACCAGACAGATTCCAATATGGCAACACATCAAATGTGCAACAAATACCACCTTATCAGAGACAGCAGAGCCACCAGGAAAGCTGGACATGAGCAGCTGAGAACATCCATCATCAAAGAGTTTGAAAACAAACAGCAACAAGGACAGCTGAGCTGCACAAAGGAGCACTTGGATGTCCCTAAACCAGTTTAGCTTTGAAGCAGCTCCCAGAATACAGAAGTGCCCTTTTCATGTCAACAAATGTCCTTTAACAACACCATTGTCAATAACTTGTCTATCACTTCTCTATTCCCATGAGCTTCTAATATTAATAATCTTCCAGATAAACAGGAATGCCTTAAACTTACAGTTGCACAGGATATAAATTAGGATACATGCACCTGAAAGTTCAAAATATTTATGTGAAATACTTGATTTCTCATTAGAACTGCAGGAGACAGACTTTTGTACAGCAGTTGGGACACATGACAAACCAGTCCTATTATCACAGGTCTGAACTTTAAACTTCAAATTGCCACTAAAGCCTGTACTTTTTTTATTTAGATTTCTCAAAGAAACACACAGCATCTTCCAGTATTCCTACTTCTTGCTCACACTTCCAAACCTTTTTTAGATATGACAGTCTGCACATGCAATTGCCTCAGCTCCAGTGACTTGATCCCTGACCAAATCCCTAGCCATCTGTAACAGAAAATATCAACAAAACTAAAAACTAACCACAACCTATAGTCCCTTTTCAAGATTCCCTTCAGATCCAAATCACTGCTATTAGCATCCACAGAGAAGCAATTTGATAAATCCCATCTAAGTACCAAGCACAACTGCTCTGGTCTGTCACACAGTCCCCAAGTTTCACAATCTTAACTGTTTCCAAATAAAGAAATAAAAAATTATCTGAAAATGTTATTCAGATCACATATAGAGACCTTTGGCACATTACAGAGTTTGAAAGTCAAAGAAAAAACACAAGCCAGATCACTGGGTGAAACTTGAAACCATCAGCTACTTGTCTCCTGCAAAATTATTACCAAAAATACTCTTGATTATTTAAGCACTATCATTAAACTTATGAAGTCCAAGTCATTCATAACAGTATCTTCAGGATAAAAATACAAGCTGATGGAATCGTCAACAACACACAACAGGGACAAAATGTTATCATTTTCCTTTTTCACCAATAGTACAGTACGAACTTCAGATGGTGCTTCAGATTCTAGATCATCTTTTTCATCACTCCTCTTTTAATGTCAAGAGGAATCGTTAGGGCCTATTCCTTTAGTCTTATCAGCACTACCAGGTACTCTGACCTAGTACAATCATAGTAGGATGAGACTGCTAAATAAATTTCAAGATGAGTGTGTTCAGTTGCCAGTGGACAGGACAGTTCTAAATTTAACAGCTTTCTAACAGTGCTGCATGAAAAGGTACAGAGATTACTCAAATAAAAGGATCATTACTCAAAAATCAAATTATTCCTGACCATGCATGTCCATTGATCCTGGGGACAGTGCAGCACAGCACAACTTTATTTCAGGAGAGCTGAACCTGTCAGTAGAATAATATTTGACTCAAACTGTAGGCTCCCCTCTGACACCCTGCCCTTGACACTGGCAGCAGAAAGAGCTGCCAGACACAATCAGGAGACTGACAGGGGGAAAGGGAAAACCAGAAGCTTAATGAGACCACAGACCAACCAGAATGAACTCGTATTCTGACAGTCTGAGAACAGGTTCCAATTTGACAAAAAATCCATCCAACCAACACTCCATAATTTAAGACAGAGAATTTTGCATACAAACAGATTCAGGTTATTCCTTTTTACAAAGAAAGCACTTAAAAAAAATCAATTAGAAGCCCACCAAACAACAACACAAAACCCCATAAATTCTATTACCAGTAAAGGACATATTCACCAAAATGAGAACATCATATAATCCAAATACACTTGGAAAATTCACAAGCAAATTCTTTAATTCAAAACTTCAGAAGGTCCATACAAAAAATGTCCTGTGAGACACCATCACTTCTCAAACTACAAACATACCACAGAAATCGTGACTGTATCCCATCTACTGAAAAAGAGATGAGTTTATGATATCCTTCCTCCTCAGGAACAACTATGGAGATTTTCTGAGCAAATGTTCTCTTTCAGCTTCCAAAATTCCCAGCTATCACTCTATTAATGCCACAACCATCTTGAGCTGAAGAGCACAAAAGCTCTGTACATTGTGCACCAAGAGCTTCCCTAAGGACAAGTCAGTTGAATTCCCATGAGAAATTGGACTGTGATGCCAGTAAGGGCAGTAAAACCAATGTCAAAGAGAGATATTCTCAATTTCCCCATTTATGTTACATCTGAGAAAATAAGGTTCTTAATTACAAAGAAACAGTCTTCAACTCTCCATTTTTTACATGATTCCTTCTTACAATGTCCAAGATACTGGGACAGAAAGGACAACCTCGGTGTATATTCTTTGTATTGTTCTATGACAACAAAGCTCAGACTGCAGACTTAGCAGACTAGTAAAGATGCATGAAAAATGAGGAGTTTCTGAAATCTGAGATACAAATTTACAACCTGAATTGTGTCTTCATCCATAGCATTAAGAACTACAGAGAACTGAGCCACTCTGGACACTTGGTGTAAACACAAATATACTATGGGTGTAATTCAAGTTAGATTGAAGCCAATCAATTAATAATTTTAAAATGCTGGCCTTTTAAGAATATTTCAATTGAGCATGACTTTTATGTGTGGCTTGGAGGGTTTCTTCAGTTTTTTAAAAAGACTTCTTAAAACACATTCAATAGCAGTGATATTTTTGGTTTAAGTAAGGGAATGGAATACTATGACAATAAACTACCAAAAGTTCACATCCATGGTAAAGTTGTCTGGTTAGTTCTAGAAACCTCACACCCATCCTTAGTTAAATCTTTCAGTGGTCCTGAACACCCTAAGATACAAATTTCAGCCCAACTCCATGTAAAATCAGGCAGGATCAAAATGGCTGCTCTCTTTTTCACCACAAGATGCTGAACATTTACTCTACTCCTACACTTAAAACAGCCTGAAGACACCAAAGAAGAGTCTAAAAAATTGACAATCTGGACTTTGCTGGTAAAGTGAATGAAAAAATGAAATTTCCAGCACCTGAAAGGTGCTGCTCATACTTGTTTCTAACAGATGGACACAAATCACATTCCAACATATTAAACATTTGAATGACTCCATGGGACTTGTCCTTTCCAGCACATGAAGAACATAAATTCTAGAGCATAAACCACTGAACTGGGAATGGATCCCAAACCCAGTGTGCCACAAACACAAGTGACAATCACTCAACTGCAAAGAAGTAAAAGTGAAATACTTGAGGAACTGTAGTTCTTGGAAACAGAGACGACATACAAGCATATTTTAACATAAAATTATGCACATAAGCAACCTGAAGGAGGTTATTAGTTGAGTTACTAATTTCAGCTCCCTCTCCATGGACCTGCTCAATGAAAGCACAACTATGCCATGCTGTCAGCAGCTGGGCAGATAAACTTGAAGTTCTGTATTAGCAGCTAAGTTCTCCTAAAAAAAAGGCTTCAAAAAACTATTTCAAGTCTTTTTTTTATGCCCAAGACTTTTAAGTCCTGTTTTCCCAAGTAAGCCACTAATGAACAAAAGCAAGTTCTCTGTAAACTTAGCCAGACTGCATGAGTTTTATTTCTTTTTATTTTAGTTACTCCTGAGCTAAATATGTAATTAAAGAATGAGTGGTAAGTCCAAGCCTACTTAAATATATGTATTTTTTTTATATATTGGGGGAGAAGGGATGCAATACTAAAACCTCTCATGAATTGTGAGCCAGCAGAAACAGGGATTGCAATTTTACCTGCAGTACACAAGATCTTACCTCAACCGTTTCAACTGTCCACTCATCTACCTGTTCCTTCTCACTACTGCTGAACTGAGCCTCTGCCATGAATTGTCTGTTTACATACTAAAATAAAAATAAGAAAGGGTATGAAAGTAAAAGTAAGTGGCATTAAAGGTATACAAAATGACAATCTTTCCAGTGAATAATACCTCAGTTGATTCAACTTCAGTTGGTTCAGTAAATTCTTCTGCTGCATCAGGTTCTGTAAGAAAAAGAAATACATAATTTATGTGGGAAAAACCCACCTTGTATGAGAAAATCAAACAAGAAAACCAAGCAAAAGACCCAAAGAGAAGACACCCCCCCCCCAAAAAAAACCAAACCCAAACCAAAAAAAAACCAACCCCAACAAACCACAACACAATCCCACAAAAACAAACAAACAGAAAAACCCCACCACCCACATATGTTACAGATCAAGAAGATACAAAATTAGATGAAAAATGCTCTTCTTGTATCTAAGAATGAAGAGAAAATGTCAGGGGCAATAACAGAGAACTAGTAATAAAAAATAACCTCCAAGTTTTGAATTAGCAAGAAAAAACCCCACATTAAATTCCTGCTGGGGAGAGTCATGTTCAGCTACCCCAAGCTTCTATTTTCTCCATATTCCAAAAGGAAAGAAGTAATGATTTCTTCCTAAAATTGGATACAATATTCCCAAGTTTAAGTGTGTAAGCTTGAGACTTTACTTCAAAACTGTTCCCTCGTAACAAAGGATTAAACCGGTGGGAATGACCGAAAAATGGGAAAGCCTCAGGCAGGCAGAACTTTAATTTGCAATGTAATCATTGTGAGGAACCCAGAGACAAGCCAGTACAACACAAACACCTCACTCCCAGGCATCCTGATGTTCTTACCAGCCTCTGCCACAGTGTCTTCTACTGCAGGGGCAGGTGCTGCCTCCTCCTCCTCACACAGCCCGTTCTGGTGGTTGTAGGTGCTGTCGAAGTAACTGGTCTGAAGGATCCGTTCAACCACCTCCTTCAGGGCTTTGTCTAGGAAAGTGCAAGTGAAAGATTAACACTAACCCAATCCTAATCATCTCTGCCTTCCTTCCCTAAGATCACAGAAATTTTACTACCCTTTTGCTGGGGAGATGTTGCTGTCCCAAGCTAATGCATGACCACTATTGTTACAGGACTTCTTACTAGGTTACATTAAATAAATCAGTAAATAACCCACTTTCTTAAGGGCAAGATTAACCTTAAGAGCACATAATACTCCTCAGAAGATTTGTGAAACACTTTGAAGTGTTGTTTTTTTTTTTATTTTATTTTATTTTATTCCTGCTATTAAAAAAATCATCTCTGGTTGCTTAGTTTTCAGTTTGGAAAGTTTTCAAAACTCACTGAACTTTCAACTGTCTCTGACTTGTTTGTAATTTCCTCATTAAAAAAACATTACTGTAAAACAATTTCTTACAAAACAAATTTACACAGGTACCACCTTTGTGAAGGTTCTTCCTCTGTGGTGAAGTGGCTCAAATCAGCCTTTGAAAACAAAACCACTTTCATTCAATGCCTTAGATGAGTGGTTGGGCATCTTAACCCAAAAGAAATCAGCCACACTGGCAAGGCAGCATTACTGGAGATTACTGTGGAGATTTTTATTTCTGCAAAAAAGCAGACCACTGGCATGATCATACCCTGGTCTGCAGAGTTCATCAATGAAAATATGGCAAAACCAGAATGCTTTCTGCAGGAGCCAAGGGAGAGAGAACATCCCACTAATGAAGGCCATTAAAGTTTATGTATTAGATGTTATTGACAAAGCTCCTTGTTCTCACACAGGTTTCCAGAAAACAAAGAATTGCTACTAAGCACCACCAGCAGCAGAATACTGCTGAAACAGCAGGTTAAATACTGAGTAATGCTGTGTCAGTATGAAAAAATACACTACACACTAAGCCCACACTTCAGAAGTTATTGTTAGTCCAGTCAAGATCTGAAAGAAAAGCAGTTACTCTAAAAACTCACAAAGACAAGTAGATGTCTAAGTTCTCTTATATCAGAAGTGTATTGTAATTCAAGCACAAATTCAGTGTGCTGTCTCTCTTCATACTGAGGCTACACTTACAGGTCGTTCCACAAACTGGTTTTTCTTTCCCTTCCAGTAAGTCCCACAGGTGAACAGATGCTTGCTCATACTGCTCATTCAACCTTAAAAAATAATTAGTAAGAGTTAATTTCTCACTAAATCTTTCAATTACTACAGTAAATACATGAGGTGACTGACAATTAGAAAGAAACGCTCTTTGCTGTAACCCTACCTCACGTTCATGTCTCGTTCAGGGTAAACCAGCTTGTAGAACTCATCCAGCATTGTGAGCTCCTCCTCTGTCAGCACTGGGACCCCACTGGAGCCTTGTTTCAAGTCGCTGCGAACTTCATCGTCCCCCAGCTTCTCCAGAATGAACTGCAGCTCCAGCACAGTCTTTAAACGCTTCTGCTCAGCCTCCTCCCGCATCAGCTGCTCCCTGCGAGCTGTCTTCTTTATTGTCTTCTGGATCTGAGGGATCCCAAGGGAAAAACAGATTGGCAATGGCTTTTATTGCTAAGAAAAGGTACAGAGATATTCACCTATCCCATGATAGGAGGAGGGATTCATTGGAACTACCAGGAGAGCAGCTTAAAACAGAGAAACAAAAGTATTCTTCGTTTTTTCGTGTACCACAGGAGGGAACTCATGGAATGTTTTGCCATGAAAGGCTGGGGAGATAGATGGGATCAGCCAGTTCAAAAAGGGTTTAAAGGAATTCTTGGACATGAGGTCCCCAGTCAGACACTACAGGGAACAAATCTGCATCTACCCTGGCATTCTCACAGATGCTGGAAGGGAGTGGATGATAATCATCAGCCTTGTGCTCTGCACTGAACCTTCTAAACCTGCAGTCACAACACAGGTCTTAAATGCAACACTAGTCTGAACCCACAGGATGTTTCCTCTAATCTTAATCTAAGTATCCCAAATTCAGCTTGTTTCCTTTTTTGTTTAAATCTTCTCTTTCCAAGAATGTAACTTGTGACAGTAACTTTCTCTCTTTGAAACATCTAAATTTCTTTTTTAACATCAGAGACATATTTTAAAATCAACTGCATGAGAACTAACTATAATCAGGAAAAACTGCAACCAAGTTTGAAAGCAGAGCACCAATTTGGGTTCACTGACTGCTGTCAGCTGACCAGGGAAATGCCTCAGGACAAACTTGTCCAGAAAAGACAAGTTCTCCATTACTAACATTCCATAAACATAGATGGAACCCTGATGCAAGAAAAGCCAAGGAACAGCTTGGCTTAGAGTCCTACAAATTTACAGTCAGAACAAATGGAGAAAGTTGTTTGTAACATGTGGATGCTGATGCCCTTCAAATTATCACATAGTCTGTTCACAAACTAAATACACTCATTAGACCAGTCTGCTGCACTAACACCCGCTGCACAACCAATTCTTCCAGTGTTGCTGCTCTTCCCATAACTTTTTAGAACTGATTTCTTGATCACACCTATTCTGCATCCTTGATGAAACACCAACCCAAAAGATTACTCGTTTTACTAGTGTTCAGTTCACTTATCCTTCATGAAAATAATCTTGTCTCAGACTGTAGTTTCAGACTATTTGCAACTAACAAGACAGGAAGAATCTTGTAAAAAAGGAAATGCAATGCTTTCAAGTGCTGAGACTATACCATGTCAAGAAATGAAAGCCCTCAGTCACCTGGCAGAGTCAGAAGCAGGCCTGTGAAATCCTTTCTTTAAGAAAATTGGCAGCAAGTGACCACCTATAACATTGCATGACAGGCCTGTTCTGTGATCCCACTGTTTTCAACACTTATTTTTCTGTCAGAAAATTATGTCATTATTCTTGTTTCCATACATTTATGTAGTGCATTAGGAAAATCTTTTAGAAATCGTCTTCAGAAAACCTGACACCAACTAATATACAGAATAAGAGTCAAACATACAAGAAACCATGACCAATTAATCTCTGTAAACAGAGGTGACTACTGACTGCACCAATGAAAAGGAGTTTAAAGCCCAAAGGTTTGGAAAACAAACATGGTACGGCTTGATCTTTACTTACATCTTGGCTCAGAGCCATGAAACTCCTCTGCAGTTCTTTAGCAAATTCCAGATTATTTGTCACTTCCTGGTATTTTGACACTGCATCCTTAAAAAAAAATCCAGAGAAAACCACAAGTAAATGTAAATCATCACAAATAGAAAAAAAACCCCACAGACTTTTAACAAATAAATCCCCACATTTTTAGTTGCTAAGTGAGACATAGCATCCCTGAATAGGACTGCAACTATGGTAAGTAAAATTTTGATTTTCCTGGGCTTTCTCAAGTCTGGCAGTCAAGATATTGCCCTCCTAAAACTTAATCATGAGCATCCCTCCTCAACATGACACGTCAGTTCTCTGCCCTGCTCCTCAAACAGCAACCTTTATCTTCACAAGATGCCATTACACAATAAAAATACACAGATATTTCAGTTTTCAGCTGGCACAGAAGGGCCCAAGTGAGGAAGCCCTGGCAGATGAAAAGAGCACATGGACCAACGGAAGCAGCTCATAATCTTTCAAGTGTCAACAGCTGCAATAGCTGCAAGTACCTTTTTTTTGCTTCACTTTCTCAGTGTTAAAAATCATCAAGAAAACACTTGATTACTGAGCATCTGGTAATCTCAAGTATCAATATGCATGTTTGCATCACACAACTGAATTTAAATTCTTATCTGTTCCGTATTTACAACAACTGCAAAACTGCTGTTGAACTGAGCTCTCCAAAAACCTACTTTAAGAACCAGCCCCAACAAGAAGAGAAGCAGCACAGAGCTCATCTAGAGCTCCACATCTGCACTGAGAGCTGGGACAGACACACGGACAGAGCTTATTATTGGTCTGAGCTGCATCTCTAACTAAACTACACAGGGGAAGTGAAATCCATCCCTTCCCTCCCGTGCAAGAACACAGAACAATTTAACAGAAATCTGGATAGTATTTTTTTGCTGTTGTTTTTACCAGTTGATCTTGATTCAGACGTTCTCCCTTGTTCATTCGTTCCTGGTAATCATCGAGTTTGCTCTGAAAAGCAAGAAAAACGCTGTTATGAAGAGTCTAAATCCAGTTACTGCCTTTTTCTACTTGTGCCAACAGAATTATGTACTGTAATATTCCAGTAAACAGAGTAATACCTAACACAAGCATGAAACTGTCATGTAAAAAGACCACCGAGAAAAACTGTCTTCTGGGTTAAAAAAATGTAAATACTTCCTAAGGGATAAATATTTTAACCTTTATTTGGTTATCACAGTATGTCTTCATGACTAGAGTGAATTTCTAAGGAAATACACATTCCTGCCAAAGGGAACACCACTCTCATACACATTTCCTTCAGTCTAAACATCAGAGAGTTGAACTGAGGTCTGAGTTAGAGCTCATTACCACTGTATCTCTACACCACCAAAAACATGACTGCAAACCTCCACTGTCAACTCTATTAGGATTCAGAACTGTAATTCTCTGTAGTTGCTCAGTTAAAAGAGCTGTTAAGAATTCAAAATAGTTTCTGATCCTCTGTGAAGAATGCCCACCAACACAATTCATATTAATAGCTCTAAAACAGTTTCCTTCAAGAGCATTAAGGACTTTTTTTTCTTCATGGGAAGAAACTGAAAAAGGAATCATTAGGCTAATTTTCAGCAGATCTAATCTGCTTAAATAGAAACTCATGCAGAACACTGACATGACCAAAAAAGCAGGTAAAACTCCTGCATGCCCAACACAGAGACTCTACAGGCTAAGGAGAAAGGGTCTTCAAAAGGAAGTAAAGTCTATAAGAAGGACATACCTAATTATTAACCTGTTTTCATCATTTCTGTATTATCACACGATTGTATTTTGCATGAAATTTGCCTTGATCTAATAAAAAAGTTAGTAAAATGAATCCTTAACTATTATCTTCCCAATCTAGCATAACATGAAAAGTGAGAGGAACACCTAATTTTTGATGTGAAAGAATCAAACCCCTGATGCAACCACTGTTTTAGGGTTTATATTTCCCACTGAGTGACTTTTTTTTTGGTTGCTTTTGGCCTTTGTTTCATTTTACTGATAATTTTTTAGTTATTTCAACTTTTATGCTCAATCTCAGATCTTACAGAAAGCTCAAAGTCTGTCAAAGTTTACCAGAAAAGCCCCTCTTATAAGGTATTTGATGCCCAGCATCACTTGCTGAAACACAAGCACCCTCATGAGACTCAGGCCTTTTGATGTCACCTAATGCCCAGTTTATTTCTTTGGAAGTCCTACAGGTCAGATACAAAATTTAACTTCTTCATCGGATAGATGAAAGGCAAAGTCAAAGGAAGAACTTCCTGAGCTTCAAAAATATATTACTGGGAATTTCCTGCTGGGGACAGACACTACATGGTAACAGTTGTTAAAGACAGCAGCCACAGTTTAAAACACATCAAAAAAGTAGCCCTGAAGAGCATTTGCCACATTGCAGATCTCCCACAACAGGAAGTAAGGTTAGTTTACTTCCCTCCACACTGATTTTAGAACAGATGCTGACATGGTTGGGCAATCACAGAACAGTTCTCATCATTTTCTGAGCGTGGCTGAACTGTGAAGCCAGAAGGGAGGGGAAAAGAGCTCCAGAGCAAAGCCAGGCTTACCCAGACCTTCCCTGCCTAAGGGGGCTTAAATCCTACAAAAACTGGCTTGCACACAAGGAAATGTTAAACTAAGCTCCTGCTCGAGTCCCTGACTCCCCTGCTGCAGATCACAATTCCCTTGGTCACACTGACGCAATTCTTTGGGAGGCTGCACAGTAAACACACTGCAAGCACCAGTTTAAACAAGGTCTACAAAAATGCATTAAACAACCCCAACAAATTCTGTGAGCCAGTCTGCAACACAAACCCATAAACAACAGTAAAACAAATAGGGTAGAGTATCATATTCCAGAACACTACTTTGTTCGAGAAAACATATATTGCAAAATAATGCTGCAAAGCACTCACATAATCCATTCTGGTGGCCAAGGGCACGAGGGTGGGAAGAGACAAAAATCTCCTAAATAATTACAATTCCTGTATACTTTTTCCATGCTGCTGCATTTCAGCATAGCTGGTGTTTTCAGATTAAGATATTGCAGTAACATGTTTAACAATGCACAAGGTTTTCTTAAATGGTCAATTATTTAGAAATCTAATGTAAATGCTTTGCTTAGTTTTATTTGAGTAAAAAACAAAGGGATAGAAGAAAAGTTACTTGTCTTCACTTGTTCTTCATTAAAAACATTCAGATGGGAAGGTAAAAGCAGAGGAAGGAAAGCCTTGTCAGCTGCAATGCAGAGGACAAGCAAATGTGCATTTAGTTGGACATTATCACAACGATTTCGAATGCCAAGTAAGCATTTTCCTATCATCCCAAAGACACTCTGAGATCCAAAGGTTGCATTACACACAAATATTAAGTAAAATGCCTCCTTTTTAATCTCTACCAGCAACCTAAGAGCAGCATTAGTGCTGTAAAATAACTGCAGTAAAATTCCTGCTTAGCAACCTACTGCAGTGCCTGCAAGAGGGGAAGATTTTCCTGATTTTACCCCCTTACAGAACCTCACCCTCACTCATCAGATAGAGATCTCCAAGCATAAAAGCTAAACCAGCAGAAAAAATAATAATCCAGTGGCAAAGTGAGCACATAAATTGTGTATTGAACAGCTCATGAGTCAGCAGCTCCCAGTTGTACAGGAAGCAAGCCACCCTGCTCCAGCTTTTTCCACTGAGAAACCTCAAGTATTCTAGAGTTTCCTGGGAGAAGAGCACTACAAACAGGCTCCCAGGGGCAGGGGGAAGGTGCTGGTGTTCCTTGCTTAACTATGCCCTGGATTTTACTTGAATAGGAATCCAAAATTCAGTTACTTATTGTGGCAACAGACACCTTCCCCTCACACCCAAGTTCTCTTTACCTCCTCTGAATTGCCTAAAAAATGTCATCCTGAAGTGAAAGCAAAAAATGCAGTCCCATAACATTACCTTCCAAACCAACAGTGGTTTTAAAAATGCCTGACCACTCAGCCATGCTTGTACAGTCATTTACAGTGCTGTGCTCTAAACTGGATCACTGGAATCATCAGATTAAAAATAACCCTCAAAAAAGGGGGTCAGGAGCAGGAGGGAGGCTCTATATTTAACCAGATAATTTCAGTGATATGGTTATAGCAATGACAGCAGCACAAGTGTGTGTGACAAGGTGCTAGGGGACAAGGTAACCTCTTCAACCAGCTGGAGTGACCCTTTTGTAATGCAAAGTTCACTACAAGCAAAGAAAAGATGAAGGGGACATTGCAAGCCTGTTTTCTGAGATATCTCAAAACCTGCATGGATGCTTTTGACAGCACCAAGCAATGAAGATAATCCAAAATTTAAATTAGCTGTGTAATACATTTTGCACTGAAGCAAAAGAAAAGCCAAGTTACAAACCATAAGTTTATTAACCTGTTTTACATCTGTACATTGTAATTTCTCTGCCTCCACCATCGCCTTCACTCATTCATCTGTTTAACTTTGCAGCAAAAACTGCCCAGAAACGACCAAGTGAAACCCTAAAACCAAATCAGTCTTCCCATTGCCTCAAAAAAATAGGCAGGTAAAAAAAATCAAAAAGGTAAAACACTTAAATCATATCAGTTTAATTAAACATCAAGTTGAGAACCTCTCAAAACCCACCACAGTTCTCACACTCCTGTCTGGATACAATTTCTAATTATATACACACCCCCCCCCCAACAAGTCCTGAGAAGTTGTTTCAGTCCTGAGTTACAACCAAGATTTAAGGATGCAAAAACAGCAATACTTCAGAACACAAAACATTTACAGGTCTCCTGGTTAAACTGAATTTATTTTTGAAATAACAGCTGTAGATGCTCTTATGTTTTTTTTTTCCCCAAAGTCTGGTAAGTTTGACAGCTGAGGAAAAAATACCTCCACACTGTATTAGTTTGAGACTGCAGTTTCATGAGCAGCTTACCCCGGAGGAAAAAAAAAAAGCTTTCTCAGTTACCAGAATTAAATCAGAGGAGTGGAACTCCACAAGTTTTGATACTCTTTCCAAACAACCATCACACTGCATTTCCTACAGAAACTAGGAATCTACAGGGAAGTTGACTACACTGCAGGAGACCTGGATTTTGCTCTAAGCATTATTTATGTTCAAAATAAATTGCTTTTACAACAGGAAGTGAGTTCTAGAACACAAAAAGGGCTCTAGAACACAAATGAGGCTCTCCCAACACATTGTGTGTCTTTTTCTTCTGAAAGAAAAAGCATCAACAAAACATCAAAGCAGCATCTGAAAACCTTTAACCAGAACGTGTTTCACAGCTTGTAGGACTCACCATATATCCAGTTAACACAAGTTGCTGTGAGACAAGTTAAAAACAAAACAGACCACACTGAAACCTGGAAGCACCAACCACCACATGATTTCACAGATAACCTGCCTGGATTTTCACACATGAAGCTTGATAACCAAAGTTGCTGTCAAGAGAGGTTTCAAAGATATGGGCTTTCAATATATGATTTCAAACAAATTTTACAAATTTGTTTCAGAGTAATATTTAATTTCCAAAAATAAATTCCAAACCAAGCTTCACAAGGAGAGCTTCTGGAGACACTCATGTGCCTGGAACATCCAAGTGGCCCAAACAGTGGTCAAAAGCACTTCAGAAAGTTGCTACCAATGGGCAATTCAAGTGTGGCACTTCCTGCCACCATTAACTGCACCTACAACGGTGGAAAACTGATCCCAGCTTTTACCGGAGGTTGCTGTTTCCCATGGGAAATCCAACATTTTATTGAACCAAGTCAGATCAAGTCAAATATCCTCTGCTGCTACATGAGAATTCTTGCATAGTAACGACAGCAGCACTTGTTAACTCCTCGTTTTCCACTCCAGTCAGGGTTACACTCAGTAGGAAATTCAGTCAGGCTGATAAAGCAACAGCAGCTCAAGTTACCAGCCCCAACCAACATGGGCCATCTTTCCAACTTTGCTGAGTTTTTAAAGATCATGTGCTTTACCTCATATTTACAGCTGCCC